CATTCAAGTAAGAATTGCATTGTAGTATGACTCATTTCCTGGCGCGTACAATTTATATTAGGTCAGCGTTCACGGTTCGACTTCTGATATACAGATCGAGTTCTAGGTCAAACTGGGTTGTTCGACTTTCAAGAAATTCGAGTTCTGGTGAGTTCGAGAACCGAGGTACCACTGTATCTCTACTGCTGTTTAAATTTGCTCTAAATTTGTTTTGTTGAAAAGCTCCCAGCTCAGCCGCCCTGCACTGATAAATGCTTATGGCATATGTTGGGCTGGCCGTCTGCCTCTTAGCAAGGTGTCTGCATTGTCTGTCATAACTGACTCAGACATTCTGATACCTCATACATTTTAAGCATCATGCATCAGTTTAATCATGTAACCTTTCCTATTGCTAACAATTGGAGTGAATTGAATGAACTTAAGCCATTAACACGGATTTCCTCTGTTTTGTTACAGGTAAAAATCTCTACACCAATGAATATGTAGCCATTAAACTGGTAAATATTCCAACTTGCTCTGTTGTCTTTTGAGAGATTGAATTATGTGGTGTTGTGGTGTTTGGTTTGTGGCTGTTTGTTTTAAAGTCCCTTTCAATATCTAGTGTGATATGTTTTGTAGCTTCGGATGATTTTCATACCCCAGTTGCAATTACAGTCCCTTCCCAAGTAGTATTTGAAGTATGAGCTGTGCTTACTGTGTAGTATGCTCCTTGTGCATTGCTTTTAAAATACTAAAATCATTTACCCTGTTTGAATACATGGCATCACAGTTATGCTGTGAAATGTCACATGCATGTGCGACACACTGCTTGTGCGTCACAAATGGGGTGGGGCTGGCCGGCGATCGCTGAAGGTACCCGAACGTGGCCTTGCTTCACTCCTGGCCCATCTGCTCACTGCCATACTGACGATGTGGCTTTTATGGGCATCCTACAGCTGCCTAGTGATGGACAAAATGGGGCTCGCATCCCTCTCTGGGTTAGAATTACTAAGCACCACCAGTCACTCATTTAGCCCACTTCCCGTTGAGTTTACCACAGTACCATTGGATTAAACCAGGCAGTTACTGGCAGCACACTATCGTTTTAAGTACTGCAGGGTTTACAGCATTTCTACAGTAACTAGCTGTATCCGTAACCAGCTTTAAATCCTTTTTACTCCTGTTTATGGATTCATTAGGACTCCTGTTTTTGTTGATGCTTTTTAATTCTATTTTTTGGATGGCTGGTCTTAAATAAGGAATCTGACATGGTTTAAAACATGGTCTAAAAAGGCGGGCGAGTGGGCGCAGAGGCAGGTGGGAGCAGTGGCCAGGCGCGGTGACCGGCCCGTGGCTCTCCGGCGAGCTCTATGCCGGGCAGATGTGGCGGTCAGCCCATTGTCGTCCATTGTGAAGCTGTAGAGGATGGGCTGGTCGTTACCTGCTTCTGCCACTTATTGGTTTTCTAGCCCTGTGTGTGGGTGGCTGTGAATGAAACTTGCAGTAATCCTGCTTTAATTTCTCTTCCAGGAACCAATTAAGTCACGGGCCCCTCAGCTGCATTTAGAGTATCGCTTCTACAAAATGTTGGGGAGTACAGGTAAGAGCCTCTCGATGTGCCCCTGTCCCCACCAGAGCAGACCAGCTACTCCATCTGCTTCTAGAACAATCCAGAGCAGATCTCTTCTGTGCATGTTATGTTGTAATATTCTGATCTCATTCAAAACAGTTGGGAACTGAAATATAAGCTTCTTCAGTAAAAAATGTTTAGTTGTAATGTCATGCTTGACTTTAAAAGAACGGATCATCTTTAAAGTCCAGGCTCTGAGTTGCCAGACGGCCCATCATGGCATACAACTAGCAGAAAGTTATCTATCATCAGCTGATGCTCTTGGCTGCTTTCCTGTGATGCTGAAAGTTGTGAGGGAGGTTTCTGTAAATTAAGTTGTTTGCATGTGTGTGCATGCATGCGTGTGCCCTTTATCCTGCTGGGATGGGCCTCTGGAGATGTACTACAATGTGAATGCTGCAGAACTTGTATTAGACAGAGAACACAAAGAATTCATAATCAGAATATCTGGCTGAGTATCCCATTCTGGGCTGGTGGAGATCGTATTGAGTGCTGTGGTTCAGTAATTAAACAAAAAGCAGATGACATGTTGCTCTGGGACTCTCTTACTGGAGCAGTTTTCGGTGTTTGGAGCAAGAGTTTCTCAGAGGAAAGTTCTGCTGCTCAAACAAAGGCTGTGGTGACAGCTGATTAACAACTGACCTTCCTAGAGCGAGGCTTCCCAGTCTCAGTGACGGCTTTGTGGGAGGAGTTGGTTTATTTCCAGAATTAAACTGTATATTCTAAAGTTATGCCTTTTTTCCCACAAGCCCCGACATGCGTTCTGTTCGCTTCAGCAAAAATGGAAATGGCTAAACATATCAAATCTGGCTCACTGATTGATACCGCCCCCCCGGCTCTCCGTCGACTTTCTTTACCAGTCAGTAAACTTTAGCAAGACAGCTCATTGTTTAAAGAAATCATTACTCCAGATGAAAGCTCAGAAATCATTAGTCCAGATGGAAGCTCAGAAATCATTACTCCAGATGGAAGCTCAGAAATCATTACTCCAGATAGAAACTCAGCAGCAGCACCACATTTCTGACAGATAATCTTCAGATGTTTAAGAATACATGGTAAAAATATGAAAATGATGTTTAACTGCCTGCAAATGGTCAAATGAGAACATGAATATAAGCAATTCTGAAAATCAAGCATGTTTCAAAACATTATTCTGGATCTTTTATAATAGTAATAAGTATAGTTACTGTATACATGTGCCGTAATATGTCCTAAATGACAGGAAAAACTGAGTGCTTTATTTAGAGTACCGTTTGGGTGAGAATCTCCAAAGGCCGTTCTGCCGTTTTATTGATCCCCCTGGGGATCAATAAAACATCCTTACGCCTACCTCAACTGGCTCTATGTATAGTAAGCTGTCCGTGAAGGGCAGCCACCTGTTACGGCTCCCAGTGAGTTGGATTAAGGGCCTTGCTCAAGGAGCCACAGATGTGCTGAGGCTGGGCTTGAACCAGCAACCTTCTGATTACAGGCACACAGGCTTAGCCCACTGAGCCACAGAGCCTTGAAGGAGGATACGTACATAAACATTTCTGAATTCTACAGAAAAAGTTAGCCCTGTTCAAAAGTTTCAAAGCTGTATATCAAAGGAAGTTGGACCGAAAGGCTTATTCGGTAAGATGCATAAAATTAATTTAAATTTCAAAGGGCTGCACTTTCAAAACTGTTAGAGATTGGTATAGGAGCACCTCTGAATTTTTTTCGGGGGAATCCGAGAGGGATTTGATATGAAATTACTTTTCTCCTCCTGTCAAGGATTCTAACACCGTTCTCTTCAAAGCTTTGAGTGATAAGTTTAATTTTTCTGTCCTCAATGTAAAAAGACGTTCATGAACTGGGTAAGTGAGAAGGCGTGTTATTGGCTTGGGGATGGTGCTGTGGCCAGTCGTCATGGCTGAATGTGACTCTTCCTGAAATTCCTCAGTTATCTGTCTGCCTCTTGAGGACAGGTCATTAGCTGTCCAGCTCTTACAAATGTCTCTTCCCTAATGGTGAAGCACATGGGCTCGTGACCATATTCCCCTGGTTTTGATGGTCCCAGCTGTTGTTGTTGCTATAGTGGAAATGTCTTATATTGACCATGCAAGTTTTTTACTGACAATGCATTTTACATCATGAGGGGGATGATTAAGCAAAAAAAAAAAAAAGCGCTACAGCAAATTACATCACTTCCTCCTCATTTCAAAATAAAAGTGTCAGTGTATTAAACCAACAAATGCACTTCTGTGATCCTTAACAGCACAAGGCATTGCTTAACATACATCTTATAAATGTCTGCAAATATCTTGCGTAAACCATATAAACCATATAAATTACAAAAGTTGTACCCTTCAGTGAAGTACTTCTCTGCTTCAGAGTGTACAGTAAATGTCAGCTTTTGTTTTGACTGTAAGACTGGCTCGCTGCAGGTGATGGTTGAATTGGGTGAAGGGGAAACACGCCTGCATCCTTCCATCGCAGTGGAAACTGATGAATTATTTGCAGCCAAGGCAGTGCTGTGTGCAATAAGGCCGCCTCCGTCCCGAGGCTCAGGCAGTGTGACCTGTTCCTGCACAGCTGATCACTGTGGTGTGGGATCCCGACCACTCAGAAGCCAAGACAGTGCTGGGGGCGTTTCCTGGATGGCCGTCTGCATGGGGTCAGATTGCAGCACTGCGGTGGCACACTGGTGGAGGGGGCCCTCTCACATCAGGGTGTGACTCAGCAGGAAGCCCGGTGTTCATCTTAGCCTCATCTCGGGAAAAGCAGCAGCCAGACTTACTGGAATCGCATGCTTGACGTTGATGTGTCAAATGTTTCATTTAACTTTTAGTGCACGATGAACATCAAAACTGGTTTTCCTGTTGTGCATCTTACTGTTGAGCTCAGTAATGTACCTGGTAGTGAATTTCACTGAAGTTGCAAAGTCTGACTCCATTGTTCTCGTGTGTGAAATTTGCGCCTCTGCATCATTACCGAATGGCCACACCAGCTGCCTTTTGTGACTGGATCCACCCAGGAGCCTCTGCATGGAGTTTCCCATAAAAATAGTGCCTGTCCCTGCAGTGCCTGTCCCTCCAGTGCCTGTCCCTCCAGTGCCTGTCCCTCCAGTGCCTGTCCCTGCAGTGCCTGTCCCTCCCCTCTATGAGGCTGATGTCACTGTGAACCCACTCTCATGCTCTGGATTTCACACTGCATGGTGTTCCTCCTGCCTTCCCCGTCCCTGTGTGTCTGCAGGTACATCAGCGTAATTTGAGGAGAGTCCCCCCCCCCCAGTAGGCTGTTTGACATAATGCCCCTGAGTGCTTCCTGAGCAGGAAGTGACACCCTCATAGTGTCAAAGTGGCCCCAGAACTTCACCTGATCTGACCATCCATTTAATGGAGTTACTCATAAATAGATAGATGGGCAGATGGTATAGCTAGTGGAAGTGTAACAGGCTGACTGCATGGGAGCTCCGTCTGCGTACGTATGTGTGTGTGTAGTGAGAGAAGCCTGTCCAAGCTTGCAGTTTGTGCTTCTGGGAGATTCTCTCCCTCTCTCACAGAACTTGGCCCCACGCAGTCATGTTTCTTTAATGCCAGACTCCAGCTCCTCGTGGTGATCGCCATCATGAGCCTGGTATCTACTCTCCACTCTTGCCACAGCCTGCTGTTTTGGTGCCCGTAGATTAGTCTGGTTTGCCGCTAACCTATGAGGCGAGTCCCAGGACCCGGGAGAACTGAGCATCTCGCCCGCCGTCTTTAAATCTCCTCTCAGCTGTTTCTGCCTTAGCGATCATCGCTCATGAACAATGTCTAATTCGGCTTTCCCTCAGAACCCCTCTGTTGTGGCTTCCCACAGACATGCCTGGGCTTGCCTCTGGAGGCAGACAGGGCCGCGCCCTGAACTCAGTAATGCAGCAAAGCAGCCAAACAGGCTCCAAAGCCCTCGGGCCGCTGTGTCCCTGATTCCTGCTGACAGTGTAGGCGTCTGGGAAAACCCCTCCTGGGGGTGCCAGCGCATCCCAAGTGGAGCTATATGGCTGAGTAGAGTAGGTACCCCCCCCAGCACACTCACTCAGGCCCCCAGTCTGAAGACAGAGAGAGGGGCAGCTGGATAGCCTGCCACCCCCTGAGGGCCCGTGACGTGTAGGCTGACAGCTCGCCTACTCTGCAGCCCACAAACTGGTCAGCCCGGTGCAGCCCCTGCAAACAGAAGGTGGCTGATCTTTGTTGGATAGTTTTGAAATCCTTGCAGTTCAGAATGAAATGATTCATATATGATGCATGTATTTGAGTCAGCGTTACCATTTTCATGCAATAATATTGTCTTAGAATTGTTATAGATGAAGGAATGAATCGCGTCATCAGACCGTGTGTTCTGAAGCGCTTTGACATGACATGGGGCGGCGTGAGCCGGATCCCGGCCTTCCCGAGCAGTGATGTGTAATCTGTATGATGTGTATGATGATGGAGTTAGCCTTCTGTTGAACCCTGGGCCTCCTAGGTAGTGATGTGTAATCTGTGGCCAAGTCACAGAGATGCAGTCGGCACGGTGGCGGTGTGAGCCCTCTGTCAGATCCCGATCTTCCCGAGCAGTGATGTGTAATCTGTGGTCATGGCACAGAGACGTAGTTAGCTCGGCAGCAGCGTAAGCCCTCTATCAGATCCCAGTCTTCCTGGGCAGTGATGTGTAATCTGTGCCCGAGGTACACAGACAGGTAGAAGCTGTCTGTACTGTAACCTCCCTCCCCCATCTAAAAGCGAACTAAGGAGGTGCTGGCAGGACAGCCTCCCCTCCTGCACAGCAGGTTTTGCGTCTCATTTCCGTGGAAGGTTCCGGTGCAGCGCCAGGTGCACCCTCCCAAGCGGCCTGACGGAAGCTGCTCTTGCTTCGCTCACCTTCTTGGCGTAGCTCCTGCCCCCAGCTCTGCTGGTGTGATGCAGCTGGGCCGGCCGATGTCACCTGCCTAGGGGGACATGCATGTCAGCATGACATCAGCATATCTGCATACAGTCCCGACAGCAGCGATATGCAGTACCTTATGAAGCCCTGTAGGTGGTGCACTTATGCAGAGAGCCACTTTTTTAATATTTTGAAATAAATACTTTTTGACAGTACAGGAGAATTCCCTTTTTACTTTTAACTGTGAGAGATTTGCCAGCATCTGCATTCAGTTTGCAATTAATCCTTTATTTATAAGCTATTCAAAAGGGGTCTTGATGGCCGCACTGGTCACCCATAGACAGGTCAGTCCTGTTTTTCATCTGGGTGAGTCTGTTAATTTAGTTGCTCTTCTGTTATTAAATCCTGCTAATGATATTACACTTTGCTGTCCTGTCAGGCAAGTAGAGCTAGAAAGGAACCCAGTTTTATAGGAACTGTCATCTCTCTCTCCTTTACATAATGAAACTGGGTGTAGTTATACACATGAATTTTTCAGTTAGATGGCAGTGAAAGGAAAAGGCTTGTAGGTGCTTGTTAGTGGCTGTCTGTGCTGTGAGCACATGAGGGCCAAAGCAATGATATGTACAGCGTCCTGACCCCCCCCACCCGAATACAGCGTCCTGACCCCCCCCACCCACCTGAGTACAGCGCCCTGCTCCCCCCCGACCCCCCGCGCCCTCTGTCTACCCAGTTGGAGTGCGCTCACTAGCAGATGGTGTCTAGTGGGTGCACAGAAGCTGGGAGTGACGGCACTGCCAGCCATCTGCGGGCACCTTTCTCCTTATTTCGTGTCATTTTCTGCCGCCTGTTTAGATGCGTTGGAAGGAGCAGGCCGCTGTAGCTGGCTTGGCTTGTTTCTTATAGTGTTCTGCCTGTCTTACTGCACTTTGCTCTGTAATGTCTTTATTGATGGGAGAAAACGCACTATTGTGTGATTTCTGATAGTGACTGTCTCTGAGTGTTGTGTCGGTATGTGTGTCCATCTCCAAGCCTTTTGTGCTCAAACTCTGAGGAAGGCAGCCTTTCGCCATGTGATCCCTGTACTGGAGTTTGATGGACTGTAACTGACTGGTTGCTTCTGTTTTTCTCTATATACTTAAATGAATTATTTTGGTGTTTAAAGTTTCTGCTTAGAGTGGAGCCTTCAAAGTCTGCACTCTTTTTTTCCTTGCTTCTCTCCTTTTATGCAGTACAAGCACTGCCACCTAGTGGCAGCAAAAAGCCAACTACGGGCCTGTTAAAAATGGCAAAATGAATTTGGAACATTTCTAATTTTTAGCAGCATGATAGCAAGCTATTTATATTTTAATTTGCTTGCACACCCTGCATGCTGATCAGTACCCTGGTATCTAGTATGATTTTCTATCAGTTTTGCATTAAATGCTTCTGGGTGTCAGTTTACTGTTATTTCCATGAATACTGTAATGCAGTTTTACATTTGCCACAGAGATTCTGGCAGTCTGTGATGAACCAAAATAAATTACAGTGTAGTTCCTCTGCAGCCTCTGCCAGCAGGATGAGCACATATGAAGGGCACATCAGAGGTGGCTTGACCCGCCTCCCAGGAAAGGCTTAGGGCTGTCCGCACCACGTTGTGCCTCCAATGTTTACAGTTGCCTTTTGGCCCGGCTCGCTGAATTGCTCTCCCTTTGCCCACCAGCAGAGGGCCTGCCCCAGGTATTCTACTTCGGTCCGTGTGGGAAGTACAACGCCATGGTGCTGGAACTGCTGGGGCCCAGTTTGGAGGACCTCTTCGACCTGTGTGACAGAACTTTCTCTCTCAAGACCGTCCTGATGATCGCCATCCAGCTGGTTGGTGCTTGCCCACAGTCCTGCTCCGTTCACGTTTTTTCTCTTCCTCAACATCAGGCTTAATGTTGACCATCCTCCTAAAATGCTAATCTCCTTCTGACTGCGTAAATTGGCCCCTCCTTTGGGCTATTAATAATATAAATATTATATAAATATATGAAAAGTAAAGACTTCAAAACATGTAGACCAGTTGTGGCAGCTGATGGTCATGTATGTTCGTGACGATGCACACATCACGGTTCTTCCCTGCTGGCCTCCTGCCCGCCCTGTCAGATCTCCCGGATGGAGTATGTGCACTCCAAGAACCTCATCTACAGGGACGTGAAGCCAGAGAACTTCCTCATCGGCCGGCAGGGAAACAAGAAGGAACACATCATCCACATCATTGACTTCGGCCTGGCCAAGGAATATGTCGACCCCGAGACCAAAAAACACATCCCCTACCGGGAGCACAAGAGCCTGACCGGGACAGCCCGCTACATGTCCATCAACACGCACCTGGGCAAAGGTACACTCGCCGCAGTGCCCTCACCCTCTGCATCCATCTGTTCTCCAGCAATTTGTAAACCACCTTCATCAGCCCAGTGGCAAGATACAGTAGTAGTTGTCTCTTTGAAGTCCATTTAAAAAAATCTCTGTAACTGGTTCTACTGGGAGACGGTACAGATGGACTGGTGACGTGGGATCCTTGTTGGAATTGTGGACCGGAGATGGCTGCTGGCGTCATGGTCAGTTCTCCAAGTTCTTAAGTGAGATCTTAGTAGCTGCTTGTCTGCACCCTCAGGTTCATGTAGCCTCTTTAGCCGGGTGTGTCATCAGTGCTGCTCTGTGTATTTGGATGGGATTCCTGTGTTGTCATTCTCTACCCATCATTGCTTGTTACTCAGACTGGCTTTCAGTAAGTGATGTGTAGTTAAGTTGTACTGTATGGCTCAAACACAGTCATCAGCCAGGAGTGATATTCCCCCCATACTTTGGTAGCTTTAGTGTAACAACTTGAGCGAGCTTATGAGACATGCAAAACCAGAAAGTGAGATAAGGTCATAGAAAATATTTACATTTCTTTTAATAACTTTATTTCAGTTCTAAGGTCAGTTTTTCACTTTTCCTGTGCAAATGAATGAACAGTATGCCACTTTTATGTTATTCAGGTCCATTTAAATTTAATTAAAATAGCTGTGTAATGAATAATAATTATATCACAATATTCTGGCATGGAGTAGAGTGTCACATCCCAGGTGAACGTGTTACTGGCATTGTGGGTGAACCTCCCAAATGCTGTACCTTTCAGAGCAGAGTCGGCGAGACGACCTGGAAGCTCTGGGTCACATGTTCATGTACTTCCTCCGAGGCAGTCTCCCTTGGCAGGGCCTCAAGGTATGTTGTGCACAGGTGGCTGATTGCTCTTCCAACATTTGTGTGGAGACGTCTCACCCCTTCCCGGTTTCCCCCTCGCCGTCTCACCCCTCCCCAGGCTCCCTCTCTCTGTCTCATCCCTCCATGGGTTCCCTCTCACCCTGCAGGCAGACACCTTGAAGGAGCGATACCAGAAGATTGGAGACACGAAGCGCAACACCCCCATCGAGGTTCTCTGTGAGAGCTTCCCTGGTACTGTCACCGCTCTGTCAGCTTCCCCGCCCGGTGTGGCCGTTATCTCGCAGATGATCCCTGACCCCGTGCCTGGCTCAGAGCTCACTTCCGTCCCCCTCGTGGTGGATCTCGCAGCTTTTATCCTGGTGGTGTGGGCGGCTCTATCTGGGCTGGCTGCAGCGGGCCGTCTGGGGTAGGCAGCGTCTACTCTGTGGGTCGATGCTCATCTGGCATCTGCTGGCTTCCGCAGAGGAGATGGCGACATACCTGCAGTACGTGAGGCGGCTGGATTTCTTCGAGAAGCCTGACTACGAGTACCTGAGGAAGCTTTTCACCGAACTGTTTGAGCGGAAGGGATACACCTTCGACTACATCTACGACTGGGTGGGCAGACAGATTGTGAGTATCCAGGCACGGCGAAATGTGGCAGGCAGTCGGACCCATCAGCCGCCCCTGCAGGAGGGGGCCGGGGAGGCACAGAGCTGTCAGTCACGCCTGAGTCTGTGATTAAGCTCCAGTCAGTCCAAATAATCACGCAAACTTGCAGAATCACACAGTCACACTCAGCTTCTGAATGAATGCAGAGGAATGAATGTGTCCAGCCTGTGCTTCTTGAAGCATTTTATGTTATTATTGAAGAAGGTATTGCTTTCTCATTATATTTTCATTGTGTGGCTCCCCGTCACCCCCCAGCCCACGCCAGTGGGGTCCGTCCATGTGGATTCTGGGGCGTCCGCCATCACCAGAGAGAGCCATGCGCACAGGGAGCGGCCGTCCCAGCAGCAACCACTGCGGAACCAGGTGAGCTCCCCCTCCAGCATGGCTCTGTGGGAGAGACATGCCCCCCGCCCGGACATGTGGACTTATTTCACATGGACCTTTGTGAAAATCCGCCGCAGTCGTGTCGCCGCTGACCTGAGGTTCGTACCCTCAGCCAATCCGGTGACGGTGTATCGGTCCGTTTCATTGCTTTTTTGTTACATTATACATCTAGTCTGCCTTGTGGAACGTGTTGTATGCAACACCAGTTCCTTCCTTTGAGGATCTTTGTCCTTGCCGCTCAGAGCAGTTAAGGACCGCTAGCCCCTGTAGCAGTCCCTGCATTCTGCACTGCCCCACCACTACCCAGAATGCCTGTGGTTCTGCCTCTTCCATGCACACAGCCACAGAACTGCATGGCTTCCCGTCACCTTGACAGTCAAAGGCAAGGCTTCTCTGGATAAGCGGTTCAGGATGGTGATGCTGTTGCCTCCAGTCCCGCGCCCTTTGGGTTTGCCCCCCCCTTGTCCTTGTGTGCTTGGAGGAGCATCTCCATCACAGCTATACTTCCACAGGGTGAAGAATCAGACAGACACCCATAGCCATTACTGGATGTGCTCTGGGCCAGGACAGACGGGGGCATTAGGGGTGTATGATAGGGACACGCTCTGGGCCAGAACGTACTGGGGCGTTAGGGGTGTATGATAGGGACGCGCTCTGGGCCAGGAAGTACTGGGGCGTTAGGGGTGTATGATAGGGACGCGCCCTGGGCCAGGAAGTACTGGGGCGTTAGGGGTGTATGATAGG